GAAATAACTTTTTTTACTATAAAGGCAACCCCGTTTTTCCTTGTCTTTTCATCTCCAGAGTAATATATCATATGGTCATCAGACTCAAAATGCCTGATATTAGTTGCGACATAGTGCAAAGAAATGTCAAACTAGCTCACTAATTTTGTTAGCAAACAACAAGCTAGAAACCACGCTGCCAGAACTCCCCAGTATTATACAGTGTTGTGTGGACTTTTGTGTGTTGGTGGTGGTGTTGATTGCTGTCGAGTTGAGCACGACTCATAGCGACTCTGAATAAAAGGCCTGAAGCCTTTCTATCACTAGCGTCATTTCTCCAAATTCATAGAGTTTCCAGAGGCATGTGGTTTAGGAAATGGATGCCACTCCTGCTCCCAAACCTGTCTTCAACTGGGAGCTCCACCAACTACTGTCCACCTTGTGCAGCCATTATGGCATTTGACTCCCAGTGGCACGAGGTTCAGCATCACAGCAAACCCAGATTACCTCAGTGCAGCAATTTGACAGAGGAGTGCTGCATAAATTTAGTGTATATTGGAATAATATACTCCAGCAGTCCAGATCATTAATTTCACATATTACTTTGCCTAAGGTGAAGCCAAATTTAAAAACAAAATCTGAAACCTTGCCCTGCAGTCCACTCTTAGCCTGGTGGCTGCTCCTGTCAGTACAACTGTACCCCTGGGGCTAACAAAGGCTGGCTTTTCCCATGATCACCAGACCTTTCTTCAGAGGTGCACTGGGGTGACCTTGTACCACCAGAGGGAACTGCCTGTGGGTATCACCTAAAAAGTGAAAATACCTTGGAGGGGCTGCTCTGTAACTCCACCCCCAGTGCTCTCCTTCATTTACCATTTCTTGTGGATTTGAGGCTAGGGTTCCAGATTCTACTTACAGTGCCTGTAGTGACTCTGTGACTCTGGATAGCTAGATTGGGAGAAGGAAGGCAGTTCAGAGGAGGAGAGTGGGGGAGCATGTAAACAAGTCAGACAGGTGAGACCAGCAGCATGGAGTAGCAGGAACCAGTGCTGGGTCTGGAACAAGACAGGAGCATGACACAGTCCACCAATCTGTAGACCACTGAAAGGGTCTTGGGTAGGAGAGACCCATAGTTACTGTGCATTAAAGAAATACCACAACAATTGTCATCAAGTTAATTCAATGACACTTGGTGGTAACCTATTTATCGCATAAGAAATACAAGTAACAGAGACAAGGAAAGTTGAAAAGGGTTTCCTTTAAATGTGCTGATACACAGTGCTTTCACAAGCCATGTTTGAACCTTCCAAAGAAGCTGGGATAGGCCTCCTGGATCCCTGCTGAGCCACTGGGACAGCACTGATTTGGGATGTCGAGGAGATATTGCCTTACCTCCTCTGAGCTCCCTGCTAGTGTGTCTCCACATGGGCCTGATTTGGCTACAAGCTGCACCACCAATAGAGGGAGCCCAAAGAAGTGGAAGAGCAAGATTTTGAAGACTTTCTTCTAATCCTTGCTCCAGTGGATGGTCACTGTATTCAGCTGTCATCCAGTCAGTTTCAACTCAGGAGAAATCCTCTGCTCTAGCACGGAGGTACCTTGGGATAAAGGCCTGGTCATCCAAGAACCTCATGGAGGTTCTCTGACTCACAGCACTTGCCATTACATCTGTCAATGGCACTGCTCTGGCTTTTTTCTTTAATGCTTTCTGATTTCATAGACACGTGTCTATTTCTGACTCTAAATGAGATAATGAAATAATGTGCTGTTAAAGATTCTAGTCCTGTGTACTTCTGGTTCTTCTCGGCTTTGTGACCACTTCAAGGATTTTCTTACCCTGTCCAGTCAATGACTTAGGCACAATATAGCCATTTAGGAAAGGCATCCTATCAGCTACAGCTAATCCTCACAGCATGTTCGTACTGCCAGCCCCTGAAGTGAAGCCTCTTACTGTATGCCACATGGAACCTAATCTTTGCCAGCTGCAAAAATATCTTTCAATTCCAAACCTCCCAGCACCAACTTCAAACACTCTAGCTCTACCTCAGTGCATACCTGTCAAGGCATGGGCACAGAGGGTCCCAGCACAGAGCAGCCAGGAAACATCTTCAACAAGCCTGCCAGTGATCCTGACATACCCAACTGGGCCCTGACTCCAAACTGCTGCAACCCACTTGTGGAATTTCCCAGGTGGTTGGAGCTTTTAAAAACAGTTAAAAATCACTGTGGTAAGGCTCACCTTAAACATTCTGTTTATATTGGCTTGGAGTGGGACTCAGAAATCTATTGTTTTGAACTGCTCAGCAGATGATTCTAATGTGTAGCCAGGGCTGAGGACTACTAATTTGTAGGAATCTCTTGTCACCCAGGTCCTCTGTGCATCAGGTGAGAAGTCCACAAGGCCCCAGTTCACTGGCACTGGGCTGAGGAAGGGACTAGACTTCTTGTGTCCCCTGAGAACCCATGTGCCCGGCTGCTGAATCACAGGCTTTCTCAGACGGTGCAGCAGGAAGAGCCCACCTGGACACATTAACTTGTCAGATTTGCAGATCCCCAGGGCTAGACCCTATCAGGCCACCTCTCAGTCCCTAAACTGGAACATGATGATGTGAACATCTGCATGGGAACATAGTGAGGTGAGGTTCTCTTCACACATCCCTGTCCTTCTATCACTCAAACCTGAAGTGACAAGCAGAAGAACTCCTATGTAGGCGTATGTTTTCCCGGGAGGCTGAGGGCCAAAACCCAACCAAGCACAAAGCACCTTGGACTCTAGGCTTCATAGGAAGCCAGGATGATGCAATTAGTTTGGAACATCAGAATAGACAAGGGATACCAAAAGGGAGGGCTATCATGGAATAAAGCTACTTTATCACAGACAAGCTTGTTAGACAAGCTTGTTAAAGAGGGGAGACCCTCACTGATACTCATTTATCCTGGTGTGGAGCTTCTGGAAAAATGCTCAAGAAACTGGGTCAGACTAGCCCTGCCACATGTGGCTACTGGGCAAGGTCACAGAATGTTCCTCCAGCTTCAGGACAGGACTGAGGGGCTGGGTGGGAAATCTTGCTCTCTTTGTCCGTGTCAGTGGTCAGCACAGCCCAAAACAAAACAAACATGAACAGAATGAAAAACTTTGCAAACAGCTGAGGGAAAGGGTAAATTGCCTCTGTGGAAAGAGCACACACATCATAGCTTTTGACTAATGAATCACTGTGGACTTGGGTCAGAAAGGACCTGCTGAGGAAAAGGGTTGTCCCTACTCATGACACCTGTGCAGTGGTACCAGCTGTGACTATGACAGAGAAGGCAATGGTGTCTAGTCAGTGCCTTGCTGGCAGGGCTAATTTTTACCGAAGTCTGAGCTGACTTTGAAAGTCACAAACCTACTTTATATATGCGCTAGTGACCACATGACACAGAGGCAGTGGGGAAGTAGGCACCCAGAGGTAAGAGCTGCAGACATAAATGAGTGGCTGACTCCAAAGGCATCCACACAGAACAAGTGCTGCATGGCTCCACATGACGAAATCTCCACACAGGCAAGTATAGGAGGTCAGGCACAGTGGGCAGGGTGGGTGGGGATAGAGCTTCCTGCTTAGGAGACACTCACATAACACTCATTGATGGGAAGGTTTGGAAATGAATAGTGGGGATGATTGAATATGATAAATGTAACTAAGGCCATTGACACACTTTAGGAGGTTGTGCTGCCAACTCAAACGGGGCATCTCTTTGGTGGTTCACATCCACCAGTAGCTCCTTGGGAGAGAGAGGGGCAGTCTTCTTTTATGCAAATTACAGCCTCCAGAAACCTTGGAAACCAGTGGAAGGTTCTTAAGAGTCAGAATCAACTCAACAGCAGTGCATGCTGTCCCTGAATGTTACATGCAAAGGGTTAAAAGGGTAAACAATTAGTTACATATATTTATCACAATTGGGGTAAAGAATACCAAATACCTACAGAATACCAAAGGAAATTCTCACAGTTTAGTAGTAAGACGTTTTACTGTCAACCCAAAGGCAGACAGTTTGAATCCACTAGCTGTTCCTCAGGAGAAAGATGGGTGGTCTTCACCCATGTGATTTACAGTCTCTGAAAACCTGCTGGAGGATTGGTTCTAATTTAACAGCACACAACATAGATCTCCAAGTTATCCAACACAGTGAGTGCTGGGCTGGGGCTGCCTGGGGGAGCTTGGTCTTCTAAGAGTGCCATGACTGTTAGCTTTGAGATGGTGGTGGCAAGAACCACAACCACCCAGTACACAGCCATGGACAAAGCACATGTGTAATCACAAGTCAATGCAACACTGAACAAATCCTGCCGTGGACATATACAAAGCACTGTGACATTTTCTCTGGCATTCTATTTTTTTTTCCATTGTAAAAACAATGTTTGTGGCCTGCTAATGGGCTTCTTTCTTATAAAGCTGCAGGTCTACACTGTAGCATGAGGCCCCTGAGCGGACCAGAGTGTAGGATACTCTCCTGATGTGCAGGGCTATAGGCTGACCTGTCTCGTTGCCTCCTGATGGTCTCAGACACAGCTAGTGCAGTCAGAGTTAACCGGGAAGCAATAATAAAATTGTTCCCTGTCATTCTCACTAGCCTCTCACAGTGAAGTTCAAACTGCTACAGAGCACTAGAGGCAAATGGAAGCTCAGGGAGTTGCCTGGCCTGCCCACAGTTAGGGGGTTAGTGATACAGAGCTGCCTCTGGAGCATGACTGACAGGAGACACAGCTGTTTCCATGGACCAGATTTGGGCATTTGGTTTCCATAAGTATTCTTTCTATCCTTCTCTCTCTGTCCTACACCTCGCTATATCCCAGAAGCACCCTGACACTATTCTCTGGACTCTTCAATATGTAAAATAAAGCATGTCTGCCGAGGGCATAATCAGCATTTGCTAACAAATCAAATCCTCAGCTTTCTCCAGCAGCCAGAGGCGGGGCCTGTAATCTGCTTCTGCTTAAGGAAGCTACCTTCCGGCGAGAGCCACAGCCTGCAGTATGTTCTAATTGTGGATAAACCATGCACTCCAGGTGTAAACAGGAAAATCCTAGATTCGGGTGTGAGACACATAAGGATCAGCAGCAGATAAATAAAATGCTGTCTTTTCTCTCTCTCACGCCCTGCACACTCTTCCTGGACCTTCAGAAACAAGCAGAGCCAGGGACTTTCAGAAACAGACAAGGTCTTTTTGAAAAGGAGAGCTTTACATTTTGTTTGAAGGCATTGTATGTGTCACCACCAGCAACAATGATGGCAACAGCTTTGTGCTTGGATCACACAAGAGCATCACCATCTGTGTCCCTCTCAGGCCCCATTAACTGTTTACACAGAAAGCTCTCAGTAGAGTGACAATAGGGTGGCCACCAGTTCTTCTTTGCTTTGATGCAGTGTAGAACAGAGCACAGGAAGAGCTAGTTCCCTTCTGCAGGAAGGGACGTGTGTATCTGTGAACATGCTTAGGAGCTGACAGCATTCTGTATGGGCAACAGCAGAAGCCAAAGAACGGCCAGAACGGTCCCATCTCAGTTGTCTCTGCTTTGTTCCCACTATAGCACAGTGGCACACAGTGAGAGCTCAATACGTGTTGAATGAGCAAATACATAAGGGAACCTTTTGCCACCAATAGTATCTTTTAAAGTATGTTCTGTAGGGTGCTGATAACTGCTGTTGGTGGAAAAAGGAGTGGGAGTGGTGAAGGCTGATACTCAAATGAACATGGCTAATGTGGTTTGTCTGCCATAGACTTTACTAGAATCTTTGCTGCCATGGAACTAGCTGTGACTCCTGGAAGTTCTTGATGTGGAGACAGGTCACCTTGACAGTCCTCCGACATGCCTATGCATGATTCAGACCTCTAATTTCCCCACTAGCAGCCAATTACTTTAACCATCTGAACACCAAGGGACTGTATGAATCTTGCTGTTGTGAACCATCGAGTCAGAATGACTCAGAGCTGACCTCCAGTGGGTTTTCAGAAGCACTAAATTGCACTGGAGGAGACTGCTCATCTTTCTTCTTAAGAACAGCTGGTGGATGATTCCGACTGTGTACCTTTGTGTACCACTAAGCCGGCTGGTGGGTTCTGACTGTGTAACTCTGTGTACCACAAAGCCACCAGAGCTCCCAAATGAATCTCTGAGGGAAAGCCAATTCACTTCTCAAAGTCAGAGATCACAAATAAATGGTCTTTCAAGGGACTGGTGTGCCACTAGCCACACCAGCGCTCTCTGTAAACTGCTGATTAGAATGCTCGTCTGAACCCTACCTAGCTCGAGGGCTACAGGAGACAACAGAACACGGTTTGTATGAGGGTCCAGGGTGATTGGCTGGACTTACTTGCTAGCTCACCGACCTCCACTTGGACCAGCAAAATGTCCACCAACTGCACATTCTAGATTTTCATTTGGGAAGTTCAGGAACTATAGATACTGAGAATTGTCAGTCCAGGGTTCAGGCCCCCACCTGCCTCCTTAGACACTGGATGGAGGAACTTGCCCCAGCCTAGCCTTCCATCCTGGCATCTGATGAGGGATCATGCCAGCAAAGACCAGCACCACTGCAGCATGTCCACTGAGGAAGGGTGAAGACCCAACTCGCTGCTGGAAATGGACGGCGAGTCTGCTTTACCTGAAAGAAACTGAACTCCTTCCAGTTGAGTGAATTTGCGATGGAAGACAATGGCCAGCAGGCACTGTGTGTCAAGGGCCAGAATTCCCAGAAAGAGGTAGATTTCCATCTGCCAGACTTCCTCCTCGATCCAGAATTGACTATTATTGGCCAAGATCTTATGGGTGAAAAGAAAACCACACATGGAGTCAAAGTCCATGCTCCCAGGATGGAGGCAATCACTTTAAGAGCTGGGAAAGGGCAGCCAGCACTTGTAAACCACCTACAAGTGCTTGGTATTGTTCTAAGTGCTTTACAGATATCAAGTTACCACAGCAGTCCTATGAGAGAACTAACAATTATCAGCCTCATTTTACAAATGAGGGCAACAAGGCGCAAAGGAATGGATAACTCTTCAAAGATACACACAGCTAATAGAAGCTCAGGGAGAAGAACCAGAGAAGCTGACCCCTCTGCTGTTCACAGGACTGTAAAGTGGTAAATGACACTTCTGTCAGCTCAAAGTACCAGCAGACCAGGGAACTACAAATCCATCCGGAAGCCAGAGAAAGAGAGAAGAAACCAGATACTCTCAATATGACAATCACTGTTTCCTGGCTCCTCAATCCCAAGAAGGAGAAAGAAGCTATGGAGGCTCCACCATCCTTCAATCAGCAAGCTGTCTTTTCTGCCAGTCTGTCCAGCCCTCTGCCTCACTGAGGCCCATGATACCCCGGCACTGGTTCCAAATCAGGATACAGACAAAACCAATCAGGATACAGACAAAACCCTCAAACGCCCTTTCTTCCCGTTGAGTTACCATGTGAGATACGTAGTATTGACTTGATTGTTACACTATGGAAGGATCATTACCAGTAGATAGAAGACATCAGGATTCGTGGATACTCAGAAAACTCCGAAAGCAGCATCTGATCAAGAAGGAAGAATTCCAAGTTTTATTGAAGACAATGGCCCAAAACAAGATTCCAGGAATTGATGGCCTACCAATTGAAACGTTTCAGCAAACAGATGTAGTCCTAAAGGAGGTCACTCATTTATGACAAGAAATTTGAAAGACAGCTGATTGACTGGAGGAGATCTGCATTTGTACCATTCCATATCTCCTCCTCTGATAAGTTATGTCTCCAAGTCGACTTTTGTCAACCAGTAGCTACCACTCCAGCTCTCCTTGGGTTGTTACTTGCATGGGATTTTATTTTTATACGCTTTCACTTTCAATCTTTTGTGTCCTTGAGTTTATGGTGTGGTGTGTCTCTTGAAAGCAGCATATATGGGTCATGTTTGGGTTTTGCTTGGTAATCCCTTCTGCCATTCTGTTATTCTGATTTTTAAAGTGTTTCTTGTAAATTGGGTGAATCTTTATAGAGTAGATCAGTTTTCCATTCAATAATTCATACACATTTGGATTCAAAGCTTACAGAAAACTGGTTTTCAATTCAGAAACGTCTACACATTCTGTTTGGTGACATTGTTTGTAACCATGACAACATTACTATCTAACTGAGTTTCCCATTTCCATTTCCTTTTTGCCTAACCCTTTCTATTTTATTTCTAAATTTTTAAAACATTGTAGATGTGTGTTTTTTTTTTTTTAAATTTTAAAGAAAGTTTTCAGGAAAGTTGGATTTTCATTTGTTCATTGTTGTACATTTTCCTTCCTATCCCCTCCTAGTTCACTTTTTAAAAAACCATTCATTGTTGCACAATTTCTTCCCTGCCTCCCTCCTTTCCTCCTCTGTTAATAGATAATGAGCACTGTATTTAAACCATTTAAATGGAATATGATTAGGCATTATATGTAAGACAAAGGCCCAGATTAAAAGGTTCATTCCTTCCTGCTTTTTGAACTCTATCCCTGGGAACATGCTGCCCTTTACTCTCAAGTGGAGACTGTGTGGGTGGCTACCTGTCTAGTGTCTCCTTACAGAGATGCTGATGGTTTGACTGAGACATAAACCACAAGGTGAGTAGTCCAGTTCCAGGTCTGAAGGGTGACCTGATGCCATAATCTTCAGAGTTCTACACCTCCCTATCCAACCAGTAATCCTGGTCCTTTTTGACGATTTTTACTTTTGTTTTACATTTCTTCTCCTGCTCTTTCCAAGAATTTCTAATAAAATTCCTTTCAAAGCAGACAGTAGTGATAGCCAGGGACCATATGGTTATCTGGTCTCAAAGTCACAGAGACTCAGATTCATGTAGTCAATTATTACAACATTCTTTGATTTTCCTCACTCTTTGCTTCACATGGCCTGAAGGATTTTAGTCTATTTATATTTACTATAGTTAATAATTTCCAAGGCTACTCCTTGGAAAGGGACTTTGTACTTGGAAAGGTGGAGGATCATTGAAGGAGACAAAGACCCTCAACCAGAGAGATTGACACAATGACTGTAGCCATGAGCACAAGTGTGTCAGAGACGGCAGAAGATAGGGCAGGGTTTAGGTCTGTCCACAGAGTTGCTAGGTGTCATACTTGACTTGATGGCTCTTAACAACAACATAAATTGTAATAAGTGACTGATCTCTGCCATTTTGTTACTTTGTATGTGTGTCTTAAGTTTCATTTGTCCTTGTCGTTTTGTACCACTTCTTTTGTGTTTTGCTTATTCTCATGAGCCTTTTGGTTCCCTTTTCCTTTGTGTATTTTTAAAAAAACTTATTTTCTTTGTGCTTACCATGAGTAATAACATTTAACTGCTTGTGTTTCTAACATTCTTCGGGAATGTGGTACCAAACCTAACTTGAGCAAAACGAGAAACATGAGAAATTCTGTATCTCAGCCCTTCCCTCCTTCCTTTTGTTGTCACCATCATCGATTATGTCTGCATGTCGTATGCCAAGTAAAAGAATTTTATCTTTGATGTAAAAGGAAAAAAAAATACTTAGAATTATCAAGCATGAATATCATATTAAGAACCCATATACTTGTTCATGCATTCTCCTTTACTAGGGACCTTTATTTCTTTATGTAGTTTTTTAAAAATAAAATTTTTATTTTATACTGGTTTGCTTATGAAGTTTGTATACATTGTTTTATTTTTTATGTATAGTTTTTAATTCCTTTTCTCTTCCATCTATAGAACTTCTATTATTTTGGAGTTTGGTTTTTTTGTTTTGTTTTGGTTTTTTGTGTTTTTAGGGCCATTGTGTTTTTAGGGTATGTAAACTCTGTGAGCTTCTGTGTGTCTGGAATTGTTTTCACCTTTATTCCTGAAGGATAGTAGACTTGGTTAACAGTGCTGGAATCCTTCTTTGAGCACTGTAAATTTATCTATATTTCTAAGAGATAAACAGTGCTTACTTTCACTGGGGATCTCATCACCTGTGATTTTTGCTTCTTTCTTACTGCTTTCAGGATTCTCTCTCTGTAATTTTTGAAAGCCTCACTATGTGTCTTAGTGTAAATATTTTTGGGTTTATCTTGTTTGGAGGTTTTTTAAAGATTCTTAGATTTGTAGATTCATGTCTTTTATTAGATTGAAGAAATGTTCTGCCATTATTTTGTCCAATTTTATTTCTGTTCCCTCCTCTCTCTTATCTCCTTCTGGAATTCCTATGATAAGTTTATTAGATTTCTTGTTGGTGTACTATAATCCCAATTAAACTTTGTTCAACCTTCTAGAGTCTCCATTCTTATTATTCTTCAATATCTATAAATTTAGCTATATCATCTTCTAACCCTGGACCAATAGGCAACAGCATGATAGATGGAAAAATGACATTTTCAATAATTTAATTTTACTTAAATCCACAATCAACATGCATGGTTGTTATTGGTGTTGTTGTTGTCATGTGCCATCAGTTTCTTATGATTCATAGTGACCTTAAGTACAACGTCCCTGAACCCTACTGTCTTGAGCCAACTAAATTGTTGCTGACACACCTACCCCCATTACCACAGTCACTGAGTCAATCCATCTCATCCAAGGTCTTCCTCTCTTGTGCTGTCCCTCTACCCTTCCAAGCATGATGACTCTCTCTAAGGAATGGTCCCTCCTTGCAACATGCCCTAAGTATGTGAGACAGGGCTTCAAAATCCTTGCCACCATGGAGCAGCCTGGTTTCACCCTCTGCAGAATGAATCTGTTTGTTCTCTAAGCAGTTCATGGTCTATTTAATATTCTTCTCAAGTGCTAAAACTCAAAGGCATCATTTTTCCTTCTATTATCCCTAGTTATTGTCCAGCTTCCTGATGCACAGCAAGTAATCATGAAAGCCATGATGGACTACTACCTACAGAAAGCTAAAGCAAGATGAACACCTCTCACTATACACACAAATCAACTCAAGGTGGATCACAGACCTATGGGTAAAGCCCAAAACCACAAAGATCTTAAAACACAAAGTTGGACCAAGTTTAGAAGGTCGAGTCTCTGGTAATAGACTGATGAATAAATCCATAAATGTACAATATGGAGAGGTTAAAATTGATAAATGGTATGTTCGAAATCTTAACTCTCTGTGCTTATAAAAAACTTTTTCCAACAGGGTGAAAAGAAAACCTACCAACCGGGAAAAAATATTTGGCAATACCATCTCAGAGAAGCATTTCATAATAAAAGTTTACAGAATACTCCTGGGCCTCTAGAATAAAAAGACTTATAACACAATTGCAAAGTGGGCAAAAGACATGGGAAGAATTTTCACAGAGGAAGGCATTTGGATGGCCAACAGACATATGAAGAAATGCTCCAAATTACTGGCAATAAGAGAGATCCAAATTAAAATCACAAAGAGATATCATCTCACCTCAGTAGCTGTGGCAAATTATAACAGGACAGCAAGTAATACATTTTAGAGAGGATGTGGATGAATAGGAACTCTTAGACACTGTTGTTGAGGTTGTAAAATGGTACAGCAACTTCTGGAAGGTACTTTGTTTCCTCAAAAAAGTTGAACATAGAAATTTAATATGACCCAGCTATTCCATTGCTTGGAATATACACCAAGAAAATTAGAACTGAGGCACAAATGGATATCTGTACACCAGGGTTCACAGAAGTGTTATTCACCATTGCAAGAACATGGAAACAGTTCAAATGTCAATTATGGTACATTCATATGATGGAGGAATAATGATTTTATAAATTACCACCTAATTTGGGAGGGACCGGAGAGCATTATGTAAGTGAACTAACTCAGTCTCATAAGGAC